TGAATTAATTAGGGCATCTTTCGGAAACTTGACAGCGTGCCAAAAGCGGGCAGAGTGTGGCGAGGTCGCCCACATGTGTGCCCATACCTATAATTCAATGCGCCTCACCCCTGCGCATGCGCCCCCACCACTTTTAGCACATGATGGCACAGTGGGCCCAGTAGGCCTGTTTTTCATTCTCCCCAGGCTCCAGAGGCTTTCTAGGAGCCTGGGGAGGGCGAAAACAGCCTTCCCCACTCCCCTGGAGGCCCTCCAAAGACTGGAAACAGCCCATTCCCCAACTTCTGGTAGGACTGAAAGGCCCAAAAATCAGGTGACTGGCGCACACATGCGCGCTGCAGCTGAGCTATGGCAATGCTCGCGTGCCCAATGATACGGCTCCTTGGGACACCTGTGGCACCTGTGCCGTAGGTTCGCCATCACGGGTATAGGATCTCTTGTTTGAGCAGGGGGTTGGACTAAAAGACCTCCAAGGTCCTTTCCTACTCTGTTATTCTGTTATTCCCTGTTCCATGACTTTAGTTTTTGTTGTCTGAAATATGTGTGCATTCACCTATTGTTATCACAACTTGCATCAGCGAAGGTGGCTTTAACGCCTGGGACAGTCATTTAAAAGTTGAATCTCGCTGCAGTTTTTCTTCTAATCTCTGGGATTCTTAAGGATAAAATCTACAGCTGTTAGATTTCCCATCCGCCACCAAAATCATCCTTCGCTGCCCACCTACACAGCTCCACAGTTATGAACGATGAGACAATTTTTAATATTACACTGGGTTTCATAAACTGAATCTGATTCTAATGTGCTTTCTGACTGGATAACCAGTGATAATGTCAGACCTGCTTCAACTTAAACCTCTAAATAGAAATGTTCCTTGGCCCCATTTGTTGAAAAAGCTTTATTTTTTATTAGAAGTCAAGCGTACTGCAGTAATGCATAGCCGGAACTGAGAATTGTGTGCCAAAATCCCTAAATTCAACTTTTGCCTCCGTTAGCTGCCTCCCATCAGAGTCCCCCTGACCAATCAAGTTCAAGCAAGATGTTTTGAGAATTGTCACTTCAAGGGTAGGTTGGTATGCAGCTGCCTTCTTCTCCCAGCCGGGTGACTTTGAAGCAGCATCTCTGTGAGATACAGCAATTACTTTCATTTTCCTCCAAGCATCTCCCCTCTCATCCACCCTCCCCATAGTTCGTGGCAGACTGTCACCATGTGATATCGCAGCATAAGCGAGTGTGAGGTGGCAGCTGACAGATGACATGATCTGCTCCTATAGTAATGTGGAATGGCTAGTAGTTAGAGGTGAATTTGCACTAGAAATGCAGATATTGAAGCTCTTCGAAGCCCCTCTAATTCCTTGACTGCCAACAGTCTGTGTTGAATTGTGGCGTTGTATCATTTATTTTTTAGATTTATGTGCTGCCCATTTCGCACAGAGGCGATCGTTTTGGAATACTTTCATTAAATGTGTGCACCGAGCAGAAATTCTGTTGGAAAAGGACAACGAAAGAAACTCCGGCAGAGAATCATCCACCCTGCTTTGAAAAAATCGTGGGAGCTTCTGTCAAGTATCTAACACACCAGATGAAAAGATTAAGAATCAAGTTTGGCAGCATCACCTAGCTAAGAGATGCACGCACCGATAAACTTGCCTTCGAAAGCATCCAGACGAAAATTAAGGTTTGGGCCTAGCAGTTTCAAATGAAGATGATTGTGCCTCTGAGCATGTTTAAGGAGACTTTGTTTTCCCAGTAATAGAGAAATCTTCCTTCCTTCCTTCCTTCCTTCCTTCCTTCCTTCCTTCCTTCCTTCCTTCCTTCCCTCCTTCCCTCCCTCCCTCCTTCCTTCCTTCCTTCCTTCCTTCCTGCCTTCCTTCCTTCCTTCTTCCCTCCCTCCCTTCTTTCCTCCCTCCCTCTCTCCCTCCCTTCTTTCTTCCTTCCTCCCTCCCTCCCTTCTTTCTTCTTTCCTCCCTCTCTCCCTCCCTCCCTTCTTCCTTCCTTCCTTCCTTCCTTCCTCCCTCCCTCCCTCCCACCAGGATTTGGAGTGATGTCAAAAGGATGGCTTTTTTGGAGATAGCTCTGGGGTGGTATTCATTTACCTTCACTATTGGTTCGCAAAGGGGTATGCAGGACCTCCGCACATGTGCAAAGCCTTCCATGCATGCGCAGGACATAAAAAACGGGACGTGATGACATCCGGGCGGGTGGGCGGAGACTCCTTCAGCCGCCGCTACCAGTTTGCCCGAACCGGATAGAACCAGCTGAATACCACTACTGAATAGCACTTAGACTTATATACCGCTTCACAGTGCTTTACAGCCCCCTCTAAGTGGTTTACAGAACCAGCCTATTGCCCCCCAACAATCTGGGTCCTCATTTTACCTACCTTGGAAGGATGGAAGGCTGAGTCCACCCTGAGCCGGTGAGATAAACTCACTGCTGGAAACTCAACCACCAGAGAACCTTTGGCGCGAGTCCCAGACTATGGATTGCATTTGGTCGCAACTCTTGGTATTTTTGGCAAATGGCAACATGGGTTCCTTTTGCCAATTTTTTTAAAAAATTATCTTAATTATATTTATTTTAATTTACGATCTGGATAATTGCCTTGACTTCATAGTTACGTTCTATAGTCTGTATTTTTAAAATTGTTGTGAAAGCGCCTGAAGTGTCTGTGTTAAAAAAAAAAAAGTCGCCAGGGTGTAAACAAATGGATGTGTGAATCAGGCTTTTGTTATTTTAAATGAGATGGAGCTGTGTCTCTGGAGTTTATTATATAGGATAGTTTTGAAGATCTGATGTTTCCAAAGCAACTTACGTCAAAGCAAAATGTTTGCAAAGCAGTTTATGCCAATCCAACCTCTGGAGTTTCCTTCTTGAAGTGATTCAGATGCTAGAGCTGATAAGGAAAGCACTCCCCCCATCCCCCACCCCAACATGGGAGGATTCCCTGAGAAGCCTGGAATGACACGGTAGAATCAGTGGTGGAATTCAGCCAGTTCGCACCACTTCCGGAGAACCGGTTGTTAACTTTCTGAGCAGTTTGCAAACTGGTTGTTGGAAGAAATCATTAGATCAGAGAACTGGTTGTTAAATTACTTGAATCCCACCACTGGGTAGAACTCTTGGTTGCAAAGTAGATGACACTATTGCAGTTCCTACAGTTCAGCCTCTTCCAGATGTCTTAAGCAGTAGTGGGTTGCTACCGGTTCACACCAGTTCGGACGAATCTGTAGCAACGGCGGCGGGAGGCTCCGTCTGGACATCATCAAATATGCTTTGCGCATGCACGAGTGAACCGGTAGCAAATGTAAGTGAAACCCACTACTGGTCTTAAGGCAAGAATTCTGATAGTTGCCATCCTACCTCATCTGCCTCATCTAATGTACAGCATGGGTTTCTCCTTGAAGAAGAGGCTAGGGACATGGATTGCACAAAAGGAGAGTTAACCAGTCAACCCTCATCATAAGGTGATTCTGGATAGAGTTTTTCTAACCTTCACTTCCAGCATCAGCCATCTGTAGTGGAATGTAGTCTGGATTCCCACAGGGTGGGGCTGCATTCCAGAGGAACAAGAGACAGCAAACTTTAGGTAGTTTGGTTGGGAGAAAGAGAATCAGGAAGGTCTTTCCCAGGAGTTCTCAGAGTATATTTTTAATGGTGCAAGTACCGTATTTTTCAGAGTATAAGACACACTTTAGTTTTTGGGGAGGAAAATAAAAAAAAAAGCTGATTGGCAAATGGATCAGCCTCCAGAATACCCCCAATCAGCTGTTCCCAGAGGTGAATTTTAACAGCAGGTTCCTTGGTTGTGAGCTCTGTGCCTTGTTTTTTTTTTTTTTTTGCTTTTTTTTTCTGCCTCTGAAACTTCTGAAACTCCATTTCAGAAAACAACTTTTTTTCCTGCCTCTGAAAGCCTCCGAAACAGAGCTTCAAAAAAAAAAAAGCCTCTGAAGCTCTGTTTGGGGGCTTCTTTTCTGAAGCTTCGTTTCTGATGCTTTTTTCAGCCTCTGAAACCTCCGTTTGAGAAGCTGGGTGGGGCTACATTTGGAGTATAAGACGCACCCAGATTTCCACCCTCTTTTTTTGGGGAAAAAGGTGCATCTTATACTCCGAAAAATACGGTAGTTTGCTTTAGTTTGGAAAGATTTCTGTCTACAGGTGAGGAAACTTCTTAGAAGAAACTCTGTGTGCCTTTCTTGGTCTTTGACCTGACATCCTCAGACTAATTGGATACCAAGATTTACATGCCCTGAATGTTCAGCAAAATCGACAAGAATTTGTTGATTTTGCAGTACATTTTCATATTCATATTTTAATCAGTCCAAGCTGATAAAACAAAACAAAACACAGACACTCCTGTGAAAGTAACATGTTCATGGTTGGCTCAAGTCACAGATGATTAAATCTTCTTGCACAACCTCCACCTTTTTTTGAACCTGACCTTTTGATTCAAAAAAATTAATCATCCTTTGATTGCTATTCAGCTACACCATTAGAAAAGGCCTAGAAAATGAGCGTAGGTAGTTTCAACCATTGTGTCTTTGGGGACTTTGCTCCAAATTATATTTGGTTCACCCCTGTGCCTTCCTTCCCGGCAAGTTGCTGAAGACTGCTGATGAAGGAGAATCTTTTTTTTTTTTAAATTTGATTTATATGCCGCCCTTCTCTGGAGACTCAGGGCAGCTTACAATGCGTTAAGCAATAGCCTTCATACTTTTGTATATTTATACAAGGTCAGCTTATTGTCCCTGCAATCTGGGTCCTCATTTCACCTACCTTTGAAAGGATGGAAGGCTGAGTCAACCTTGAGCCTGGTGAGATTTGAACTTACAGTAATTGCAGACAGCTGGTGTTAATCACAATGCTATCAGTCTGCTGAGCCACCAGGCCCCAGAATCTGGTGGTGTTTTTTTGTTTTTGTTTTAAAACAAACCTAGAATAGCAGCGTTCTTCCAAGTGACAGTCACACTTCTGAGCTGCTCGCTAGAAACCACACGAAATGTTTACATGGATATAAACTTGGTTTTATTTAAGCACATAACGAAAATGATATTAAATTAGTTCAATTACAGTAACAACTTATTTCCACATTTTTATTTCCCCCCCCCTCCCCAATTCTATTAAAAAATTACAATTTAGCAGCAATTTTTAGAGAATTCTGCAGGTCATGGCTAAAGCTTTGAGGAATAAATGCAGTTCGGGGACTTTATGCTAGGCCATAAAAAACTGATAGGCTAAAAAAAGTGACAGCATTTATCTGCCTGTAATTGGTTTCAACAATAGACCTGTTAGCCAGTTAGTTGGTTGGTTAATAGGTAGGTCTGGTATTACTTCAATGGAAGACCAGAAGGACATCCAGGGATGTAGGCTAGACTGGAAGAAGTCAATCATCAGAGGAATGTATATTCATGCCTATAAATATAGAATGAATTTTCTTTTTCCATATTTTTGGGAGAAAGTTTTAGGAAGTTGGAGATATCTAAACTATTGGTGGGGAAAAGAGCTGAAATCCTGTTTACATTTTATTTGGGGTGCTGCCAAGGAGGATGGATGTGGCCATTTTATTTATTTGGGGCACCCCTTCCCAGATTTTCAAGGCAAAACATCCCTTGCAAAATGGCCTGTGTTGTCAAAAAAAAAACCATCACGGGCAGCAACTAAGTAAAAAAAAATATGTACCTCTTGACTGGATGTTGAGGCATGGCAACTGGACTTCTTTCCTTTTTGGTCTGAAAGATTTCGTTGCTTATCCAAGTAGCTTCTTCAGTTAGACCAGTGTTTCTCAACCTTGGTAGCTTGAAGATGGGTGGACTTCAACTTCCAGAATTCTGGGAGTTGAAGTCCACCCATCTTCAAGCTTCCAAGGTTGAGAAACACTGAATTAGACCAAGTTGGTTAGGGGGATCCCATATAAGTTAGTTCGTTGGTTAATTAGAGGGGCCCCCTAACCAACTTGCTCAGACTGAAGAAGCTACTTGGAGAAGCAGTGAAACGTTACAACCAGAAGGAAAAGAGATCCAGTTGCCATGACTCAACTTCCAGACAACTCTACCTAGAAGATGACTGAGAATTTTCATTGAGATGTATGTCTTGAGTTTCTTCCAGTTCTATGATTTAAGATGAAGTCCAGAAGATGAGAAGAACGTGGCCCCCCTTCAGTAGAGGTCTGGATTTGCATTTTCTTTGAAATTGCCTGAAAGAATTGGCCAAGTCGTGCTCCCGTTAAGCAACAATTGGGAAAACAGCATCAGTAGTAACACCGCAGTTGTTGTCTTTCATGGACATGAGGATGTAACCATCGTTGCCCCAGTAGGTGGACCAAGAGTTCTTGATGAGCCAGTAAAGCTCTCCTTGAAGGACACCATAACCGACAGCCAGGACAGCATGATCTAGCTGACCCCTCTTGTTTTCTAAAAAAAAGATGGGGAAAAAAAAAAAGAATTGACTCAGAACAAAATGGCGTTTTGATATGTGTGATTAGGCAAAAGAATGCACCACAGCTCCATTGAGGTTACATAGTGACCCAGGCTGGGACTTTTAAATCCTGAATTTACAGAACTTGTGAAGATTAAATGGTCCTGTTTATTACTGCAGTTATGAAAATGCAGATTGTAGGCTTCACAACCACAGTAATCAACGATGCAATTTCTCTGCTTCTCTCTCTCTCTTTATAGCTGTTCCATGATTCACAGTATTATCTTTTAGGGATGTGAATTACAGTTAACCGATTGAGAATTCGAGAAACCTCAGTGTTATGACCACGGGCATCAAATAACGTCCATCAGCATTCTTTCTGCAATCCAAAATTTGCAAACACGCACGAAACATCTACGCATTCTCTCCCCTCCCCTCCAAAACCAACATGCTTCTAAAAGTTTTATATAAACAATCATAAATGTCTTTTTAAAAAAGAATTTTTTACGTTGAAATTATCTTATTGGAGATATATAACGTTTCAGACAAATAGTTGTCCAATCTCTTCTTAAAAACCTTCCTGTTGAAGCACTTAAAACATCTGGAGACAGATTTTTCCACCGATTACTTGTTCTAACTGCCAGGAAATTTCTCCTTATTTCTAGGTTGCTTCTCTCCTTGATTAGCTTCCATCCTTTGCTTCTTGTCCTACCTGCAGGTACTTTGGAGAATAGGTTGACCCTTCTCCTTTCTGGCAGATATTGGAAGACTGCTATAATGTCTCCCCTAGTCCTTCTTTTCATTAAACTAGACATAACCCATTCCTGCAACTGTGTTGTGACCCCGACTCCCGAGCCTGTCCTAACAGAGGAAGAGGACTCAGAAGGTGATGGGGAGGAACTGACAAGGCCTCCCTCTCCAGGACCCTCCTTTCTGGCAATGCCTCAGGTTCCATCCGAAGGCCAGGAGGAACAGCCTGGGATGTGTCAGGAGGAAGGCATATCGGAGCACCAATTGATAGGGAGCAAGGATGATGAATCCTGGCTTGATCCCAGGCAGCGTCGGAGGGAGAAGCGTGCGCAGCAACGGAAGAGGCGTGGGAGGGCCAGAGATTGAGCTGAGTCACGGAGCCACGTCCCACCAAGAATAAAAGTGGGTGGGATTGCTCTTCAGGCTTTGTGACGGACAAAGTTAAACCCTGAAAGTCACATCGTGATCTCTGAAATTCGGCTTGGATATATTTTGGACTGAACATTGACTAAACTCTTGTCTCATGGATAATTTGTTGCTCCTGGAACGGACTGAAGATAAGTCCTCTTCTGCTTTATGGGAGTGAAACCGGTCTTAGCAGGCATTCAGCAATTTGCTGCCAAAACCTTGGTCTGCCAGGAATTCTATTCTGTTTACCTAATAAAATATTGGCAGGCATGCTTGGTATTACGTTTGCCTGTGTGAAGAAGGGGGACAGAACAAACTGTTCTTCATATGTTTTAGCCTCCAGTCCCCTAATCCTCTTTGTTGGTCTTTTCTTTTTCTCTTTCAAGAGTGTCAACATTTTTTTTTATATCATAGCAATCAAAGATGGCCTAGCTAGTAGTATCAATTTGAATCTATTCTGGATTGGTGAGCTAGGAATGGGGAAAACCCTATTGGTTATACCTGCATTTGTTGTTTCCTAAGCTCTTTGAATGGGATAATGGATTTACATATTGAAAAACAGGACTGTATCATCTGGAGATTAATAGTCATAATTATGCTGCACACATAGCCAAACGAATCTTTAACACAGGCACACGGATCATTGGGTAGGTGGTCCTGCAGGACAATTCTCAACCACCCTTGCTCAAGTTAATCCAACTGGGTATTCTTCAAAACTGGTATCCCTTGAGATGTTAAAGGGGCATGGAAAAACTGTGGCGATTTAATTCACAAAAGCAAGACATGCCATGTGTAATAAATGTATTATTACTATAATGAAAAAAAAAACGAAAGCAAATAGCTGGAATGGCAGGGGACGACTGCTGGCAAATTTTCTGCTACATATTTTTCTATTCCCTGAACACATCCCCTGTAGACATTTTGGAAATGGAGGGAGGGGAGGGAGGGACGGAGGAAGGAAGGAAAGAAAAAAGGGGGAGGGAGGGAGGAAGGAAAGAAAATGGGGAGGGAGGGAAGAAGGAAAGATAAAGAGGGAGGGAGGAAGGAAAGATAAAGGAGGAGGGAGGAAGGAAGGAAAGAAAAAAGGGGGAGGGAGGAAGGAAGGAAGGAAATATAAAGGGGGAGGGAGGGAGGGAGGAAGGAAGGAAAGAAAGAAAATGGGGAGGGAGGGAGGAAGGAAAGATAAAGGGGGAGGAAGGAAGGAAGGAAAGATAAAGGGGGAGAGAGGAAGGAGGGGAAGATAAAGAGGGAGGGAGGAAGGAAGGAAGGAAAGAAAAAGGGGGAGGGAGGGAGGGAGGAAGGAAGGAAGGTTTCTTCCTTCAGAGTGGAAGCCAACTTAGCTGTAGAAAAAGGAAGGATCTGGCTGAAATATGATATAAGTAGATTTCTCCTAAGGGCAGAATTCGGGCCCAGTTCCTGCTAAGTATGAACTGTTGTTCTTGGAATGTAATTTCAAGAATGCATCTCGATTTACCAGTTCCACATTAATGTGGTAAGCTATGGGTACTTCCACACAGCATTATTTTTGCTCCATCAATGTATTTAAGTCAACTATGTCATTATGTCAGTTTTGGTTTGCTAAACCTGCTATAATCTATAATAAAAGTACATTTAAAAAAAAAAATAAACCAGAAGAAAATTGGCTCAGATGCTTAAGGAAGGAGACATCGTGGAGATCAGGCTGAGCAGTGAGCACTCCATGGAGCAGGGGCTGCTCGGAAACTTACTGCATTTGGGCTCGTAGTAGACCCCATTAGAATAGAAAGAGAAGGTCCTGTGGGAGGCATCGATGCTGACAGAGACAGGTCCGTGCTTGTAAATGGCGGCCTTCAGAGCAGTCGTGTTCCCAGAAGTGACGTTGACGTAACTTGAGAGCTTGCTCACGAGATGAGTCTTGTTGCTGTGACAGTAGCCATTCTGGTAGGAAGAGAACACCCCATAGTCAAGATTCCATTGACTGTAGCATCCATTCCCCTTGACTTAGGGGCCCCTGAAATTGAATGCCCTCTACAAATACAGGTAGTCCTCGACTTACAACCATCCATTTAGTGACTGTTCCAAGTTACAACGGCACTGAAAAAAAGTGAAACCGTTTTTTCACAGTTACGACCTTTGAAGCAACCCCATGATCATGTGATCAAAAATTCAGATGCTTGGCAACTGGTTCATACTTATGACCGCCACCGTGTCCCAAGGTCCTGTGATCCGCTTTTGCCGCCTTCTGACCAGCAAAATCAGTGGGGAAGCCAGATTCACTTTAACAGCTTTATTACTAACTTAACCAGCGGCTGTGACTCCCTTAACAACGGTGGCAAGAAAAGTCGTAAAATGGAGCAAAACTCACTTAACAAAGGTCTCACCTAGCAAGAGAAATGTTGGGCTCAGTTATGGATGTAAGTTGGGGACTAAGTTGTAAATAAAGGCATAAAGATGCATTGACAAAAGCGATAGGGAAAAATAAATCCATGGGTGTCTATGCATACACAGATACATAAGAGGATACAAGCATGTCGGAATTAAGTGCAGTCAGGTGATGGCATGAAAGGGTACCTGGATGTCAGATATTAAATCTGGGTTATAAATCCCATTTTTGGGGGTCAGTCGTCACTTAGAACAGTCAGCATGCAACTGGCCATAAGTTGAGGACCATCTGCTAAACAACTAATTCCCCCAACACTGTCAAACTATCTAGAAATAACTATCATTATTCTCATCCTCCCTATTACCTATCTCCTTATCTTCTTATGACTATAACTTTGTTGCTTGTATCTTATGACTTATATTGTATGATTTATGTTGATAGCTTATTTAGTATACATGAGTATCACTAAGTGTTGTATCTAATGTTTTATGATGAATGTATTGTCACAATGATTACTATGCTAATGATCTATCACTATTGTTGTATGTACACTGAGAGCTTATGCACCGGAGACAAATTCCTTGTGTGTCTAATCATACTTGGCCAATAAAGAATTCCATTCCATTCCATTCCATTCCATTCGTCCAGTCCAGTCCAGTCCAGTCCAGTCCAGTCCATCCCCTTCCCTCTCCTCCCCTCCCTTCCTCTCCTCTCCTCCCCTCCCCTCCCCTCGCATTCCATTCCATTCCATCCCACTCCATTCGTCCAGTCCAGTCCAGTCCATCCCCTCCCCTCTCCTCCCCTTCCCTCCCCTCCCCTCGCATTCTATTCCATTCCATTCCAATTCCAATTCCATTCCGTTCCGTTCCGTTCCATTCCATTCCAAACTGGAAACAACTACTGGTAGTTGCAACCAGCATCTCTTTCAGAGCAACTCTTAAGCCATACCGATCTTTTCCACACAAGCAGAGGTCTTCTGGATCCCCCCCAACAGACGGCCCTCCGTCACTCACTTGTCCTTTGTAGGGCCCATACGACTCGGTGGTGGCGATGCCGCCATGTTTTAGGATCCATTCAAATGCCTGCCATTCCTCACCGCCGTCGCAGGCGTAGTTCCCAAAACCCCAGGAGCAGTCGATGAGAATTTGTTGAGAGAGCGAGATGAGATGCCCCGTCTGGGGAAGAGAATAAAACACACTTTGTTCAGCCTTGGTTGCATTTCCTGGCAAGGGAGCAAAGCTACCAATTGAGGTTCCTCACTGCATCAGAAAAATCACAGGGAAGGGTGTGTGAGTTTGTGTGTATACGGTGTTTCTCTTTTTTACAGAAAGCAGCTTCATCTGCTAGACCTTGAGGTAGTCCTCAACTTACAGCAATTCATTTAGTGACCGTTTGAATTTACGATGGCACTCAAAAAATTGATTTATGACTGGTTTTCACACTTATGACCATTGCAGCATCCCAGGGGTGGGTTCCACTTACCTTTACTACTAGTGTTGTGGCCCCGCCCTCTGAGCCTATCCCATCGGAGGAAGAAAGCTCCGAGCATGAGGAAGAGGAGTCAGCCAGGCCTCCCTCTCCAGGCCCCTCCCCTCTGGCACTGTCTCAGGTGCCGGCCGAGGGAGAGGAGATTAACAGGGAGACAGGTGGCTCGGATGAGAGTGAGGGAGAGACATCATTCCTGGACGCACGCCTCCGAAGGCGTGATAAACGATTGCAGCAGCTCAGGAGGCGTGCTAGGGATTAGAACTGAGTCACTGGACCACACCCCAGAGACTATATAATAGAGGGTGGTGGCCAGCGATCCTTGTAACGAACAAAAATAAACCTTGGATAGTCACTAAAGCCTTGTCCGAAACTACTGAGAGGAATATTTATTTTTGTTGGACTCTTGTACGCTGAGTATATTATCTTTCTGTTTCTGTGGAAATAAAGCACTTGGCAGATGGTGTGTATATCGCTGCCAAGTTGGAGATAAAGACCTAGGTGTGTGCCAAGTGCTTCCTTAACCCTCGGCTGGCTGTGTTTGTGTGTGTGTGTGGACGGGGACAGATCAACTAGTTCGCTCTGCTGCGCATGCACAGAAGCTTCTGCCCATGCGCAGATCACCAATGATGAAGTCGTTCCTGGTGGGCGGAGCCTCCCACCAGTTTTACTACTGATTTTATAGAACCAGACAGAACCGGGAGCAACCCACCACTGCAGCATCCCCATGGTCATATGAATTCAGGCGCTTGGCAAATGACTCATATTTATGACGGTTGCAGCGTCCCGGGGTCACGTGATCCGCTCTTGTGACCTTCTGACAAGCAAAGTCAATGGGGAAGTCAGATTCACTTAACAACCGTGTTACTAATTTAACAACGGCAGTGATTCACTTCACAAGCGTGGCAAGAAAGGTTGCAAAACGGGGTCAAATTCACTTAACAACGGTCTCGCTTAGCTACAGAAAACTTGGGCTCAATTGTGGTCTAGCTGTATTGCTGTGCTTTGCAAAACAATAATCCTTCATTTCCATTAAGGAGGGTCACTCCAGTCGCATCCTTTGGAATCCTGGACAACACAGAGTTCTGTGCAATATGAATGACAAAATAAGAGTAAAACCTGATTAAATTATTATAAATATCAGAAGCACCATTCTAAGGTTTTCCGCCCCCACAAATGAGGGAGTTGATTTTTTTTTTTCCCTAGCCTTGGCCAAGTGTGGGCTCAGCTCAGGAATTCGTTTTCTCTGTAGGAACAGTTTTAATCTCTCCGGTTTTGTTCTGTTTCATTGCTAGAGCTGCTGCTTTCTTCTTTTAAAAAATAGAAATAAAAATCTCAACGGTATAATTTAGAAGACTATAGCTGGAGCAACTTTTGAATATTACTTAGTGTAGGTGGGTTTTGTGTTTTTTTTTTTTAAAAAAAAAACCACAGTCCCAAAAGCCTTACTGAGAAATCACCAGGACATTGATCCGTGTTTCTAAAGATCTTTAGAAAGTGTTTTCAAAAGGTTATGTACCAGGCCTGTGTAGTGCATCCAGTTTGAAGAAATACTTTGGAACATGGATTTGGAACACGACGAATGCGGCAGCTTTCCCAATTGAGCCTAGAGCTCTGCATTGTCTTACGATGTCTTTTGTGCAAAATAACCGATGGAATAGAAATAGAAGTCATACTTGGTAGATTTGTTGGCTGTACAGGTAGTCCTCGACTTACAGCCTCAACGGAGTCCCAAACTTATGTTTCTAAGTGAGTTTTGCCCCATTCTACGACCTTTCTTGCCACGGTTGTTAAGTGAATCACTGTAGTTGTTACTTTAGCAACACGGTTGTTAAGTGAATCTGGCTTCCCCATTGACTTTGCTTGTCAGAAGGTCGCAAAAGGGGATCCCATGACCCAAGGATGCTGTGACCATCATAAATATGAACAAGTTGCTAAGCATCTGAATTTTGCTCACATGACCATGGGATATGCCGCAACCTTGGCTGAAGAGGTTGTAAAAAATGCTTTTAAAAGCCTCTGACGATCCCAGCTGAGCCGTGTGATCATCAGAGGCTTTTTTTTTACTTTTAAAAGCATTTTTTCAGCCAAAGAGTTGTAGAAAAAATGCTTTTAAATTTTTTTTTAAAAAAAGCCTCTGATGATTGCATGGCTCAGCTGGGCATGGGGAGGGGGGGCAGGGATTTTTTGCTACCGGTTCTCCGAACCACCCGCTGCCGTCACTACCGGATCGGGTGATCCGGTCCAAACCGGGAGCATTTCACCCTTGGTTGGACTATTCTATTAATACTAATCTAATCTATATCTATATATCATCTATAACTATATCTTTATCTATCTACATCTATATACCTGTAGCTATATCTATCAATCTTTATCGATATGAGGACAGATATTGACAATTGAAGACCCAGTTTGGTATAGTAGTTAAGGTGCTGGCCTAGAAACCAGGAGAATGTGAGTTCTAGTCCTTTAGGCATGAGAGCCAACTGAGTGACTTTGGGCCAATCCCTCTAGCTCAGCCCACCCTATCCCACAGAGTTGTGGGGAGAACAGGAAGAAGGAATATTAGGTATGTTCACTGCTTTGAGTTACTTACTGGTATAAAGGGATAAAAATAGAAAGATAGATAGATAGATAGATAGATAGATAGATAGATAGATAGATAGAATAGATTGCTCCTGGAAGCACGAAGCCAAGAATACCAACCTGAAGATGACGAATGAGACTTCGTCGAAACGTCGCCAAGACACTTCCAATTTTACGTGGGAGAAGACCCGAATAACCAAAGACCTACATACAAACACCCGCGAAAACCTGAGAAAATAGATAGATAGATAGATAATAGATAGATAGATAGATAGATAGATAGATGGATGGATGGATGGATGGATGGATGGATGGATGGATGGATGGATGGATGGATGGATGGATGGATGGACGGGTGGGTGGGTGAATGGATGGGTGGGTGAGTAGTTGGGTGGGTGGGTGGACAGATGGATGGATGGATGGACGGACAGACAAACAGATAGACAAATAGTGGTTCTTGGGCACCCTACATGAGAAGTATGCAAAGCATTGGAGATGCAAAACTTTCCAGTCTTGAAACATTCTATTGCACGTTCAAGATCTCAATTCTCCCTTCCAAACAATTAGCATGAACGTACTTTGGAACAGGGTCTTTTGAATTTGAAGTGTTTTGCACACTCCTAACCAGGGATGCTATTCAGCAGGTTCTGAAGGTTCTGGAGAACCGGTAGCGGAAATTTTGAGTAGTTCAGAGAACTGGCAAATACCACCTCTGGCTGGTCCCAGGAGTGGGGTGGAAATGGGGATTTTGCAGTATCCTTCCCCTGGAGTGGGGTAAGAATGGAGATTTTACAGTATTCTTCCCCTGCCACGCCCACCAAGCCACACCCACTAAGCCACACCACGCCCACCAAGCCATGCCCACAGAACCGTAGTAAAAAAAAAAATTCCACCACTATTCCTCACCAACATCATCCAAATTCTAAGGAAGGAAACAGTTCCTACCTTAAGGAAAAGAGCTCCTTCAAGGGATCCTGTAGTAGAAAAACTCCAGCAGGACCCACACACAGCCTGGTCTTTGACAGGCGTCACTGCCCCTGGAAAGAGCAAAGAGAAATTTTTGCACATTTTCTTTGCCATCCTCCTGCAGATCTCCTGTTATACTGTTTACCTTCACATGCTGCCAGACAAGACCAGAATCCCATACTTCTTTTCTTTTTGGCAATAGTAAAAATCCAAAGGATATCTAGAACAATGTTTAACTTTCATTCACCTACCCTGGAAGAATCGAGTTTTTAATTTTTCTCTTTTGCATTTTCTATCTATGCCATTTAGTATTTGTACTCAGATCCACTCTTTGTCACATCAGGTGAGGACTAAGGCTATTTCTCCATTAGTGATTTTCAAAATCTTCTAGTATTCCCCTATTATCACTGGTGATTTGAAGCCTGTTCTCGTTACTGTTGTTTTGGTATAGTAATGGTTGAATGATTCTAGAACAGGGGTCTCAAACTCAAGGCCCGCGGGGTGCTTAGATCTGGCCTACGGGCTGCCCTGAAAACCGTTTTCGGCCACAGAGGCCTCCTGCAGCCCTCTGCCAGTAAAAACGCAGAGAGCTATCAAAGCAAACTAAAAACAAAACAAAAGGAGAAATGTTTCCCCTTTTGCATTTGCACATGCAAGAAAGGACAGGAAAGGAGAAAGGGAAAGAGGAAAGAAAAAGAAAAAGAAGGGAAGATGGGAAGAGAGCAAGGAAGGAAAAAGAAGGAAAGAGGGGAAGGAAGAAGAAAGGAGAAGGAAAAGGGAAGGAAAAAGAAGAAAAGGAAGGAAAGAAGGAAGGAAGGAAGGAAGAAGGAAGGAAGGAAGGAAGGAAGGAAGGAAGGAAGGAAGGAAGGAAGGAAGGATATAATGAGAGAGAGAGATGGTCTCAGGGAAGTCCTGCCTCAGCACTTGGCCACACAGGTGTCCCTGACACGAGTGACGTCGAACTGGCCACGCCCCCTGGCCACTCCCCACACCCCCCTGCGGTGAAACACAACCCTGATGCGGCCATCAATGAAATTGAGTTTGACACCTCTGTTCTAGAAGACGTGATCCAAGTGAGCAATCAGCAAAAACATCCTATGATTAATTACAACAAAAGGGAATAGAAGGAAAATTAGAACACTACTATACTGTAGTTTGCAAAGAAATGACAAAAACAAGTGCAGGAAAAGGAAGAGAATCCTGTCCCCTGTTTGAATGAAAACTATTATAAAAAAACAAAACAAAAAGTCAGGAAACTGATTTATTCCTAACATCAACCGACACACGCTTCTTGGTTTCTGGCTTACAGTGAAGGACAAAGCCAAACCTTGACGTTGGTAAATCATTCTTAATGGCCGTGTGCTGTTGGAACGAGGCCACGATGGCTGAACAAGTAAGTGGCCTTGTGGCGAGATGGGTAGCAAACAAATTTACAATAAATAAATAATAAAGATTTAAAACTGCCTATTTTTGTGAATTCAATGGCCATGGAGAAATAGAAGGTCGGCTAGAGGTACAGATGTACAGATAGCCCTTGACTAACCATAGTTTATTTAGTGACCGTTTGAAGCAGGGGTGGTATTCACTTATGTTCGTGAACAGTTCACATAGGTGCGTGCGCGCCTTGTGCGCATGCGCAGAGCGTCAAAAACGGGATGTGATGACATCCGGGGGGCGAAGCCTCCCGCAACCAGCACTACCGGTTTGCCCAAACCGGATAGAACCAGCTTAATACCACCGCTCTTTTGAAGTTACAACAGCACTGAAAAAGTGACATAACTGTTTTTCACACTTATGACTGTTGCAGCATCCTCATGGTCACGTGATCAAAATTCAGCAACTGACTCATTGTCAGACTTTGATGCTATCTCAAAATAAATGAATTTCCAAACTGCCAATCTTTAAGGAAATCTTCTCTTTATTTGAGCACAGCAACCGGATCATGACTCGATGCGGACAAGACTGACTTTTTGCCCCCCAATCCCTCCCTTTCCAATCCCCAATTCTCTGCTTCTCATTGGCTATTTTCCAAGTCACTCTACTGACTTCTTGTCTCGTCATTTCACAGGAATGTCCCCCCTCCCTTCATTTCCACGATGACCCAGCTTCAAAGGGATTTAGCAGGCAAAAGTTCAGGGCTTATCTCTCTCCTCTCTATGCCAGTGGTGAGATGCTGACACTCATATTTATGATGGGTTGCAGTATCCCGGGGTCACGTGATCGCCTTTTGTGACTTTCTTTTTTTTTTTATTTCTTTTTTTCTTAAACAAACATACATAAAAACATATAGCCATCTTCAATTACACACAGTGTGTCGGTTGGTTACAAGTCTTTTGTGCATCTTCACCATATTCATAACTTACAGTTTACCTAAATTCTCATATTATCGATCTCATATATATCTATGTATTATTATTCTCATTAATCATTTATTTAACTATAGCTATTCTTCCCTCATTTTGTACAAAATATTCTAAGATTTGAGTTAAAATATTATAACATTCATTTCATCATCCTATATCAATCCAATAATAATAGATCTTTATGTTATATTTTATACAATTCTACAATTCTTGTGTTATAAAAATCTCTATCATTTTTCATTTCCATATTTTGTTATCTAACCATTGATAAAATAAGTCCCATATCTTATAATATTGTTTATCTTCTTGTTCTCTAACTAGCAATACATACCATAGAGTCGCCAGTCCAAACTTTCTGGCAAGATGAGGCCTGTGTAAATCTCCTCAGGGAACGGCAGCCCCTTGTTGGGTGCCGTGCTCTTGAGTTTCCCCCTCATCACAGCCATCTCTTCCCAGGTGAGATCAGCCAGGTGATTCAGGGCCAGCTTAAAGGGAAGGTTGGCTCGATTCTTGGAATGGACGAACCTGGGGAAGGAGGAGGAAGAATAAAAGCTAAGCCAGGTACTACCATGTTTTCCCGAAAATAAGACCCTGTCTTATATTTTTTTGAATCCTGAAATAAGCACTTGGCCTTATTGCCATGCGTTCAAAAGCCCGATTGGGCTTATTATCAGGGGATGTCTTACTTTGGGGAAAACAGAGTCTATATCAAGAGTCTGCAACCTTGGCAACTTTACGACTTGTGGACTTCAACTCCCAGAACCTCTCAGTCCCTCTGTCCTAAGATCAATTTGGGTGGAGAGAGTCAACGCATAATGGACGCCCACTAAAAAGGCATTCTCTCTCTTTTCTTTCTTATGCAAATTGTACTTTCTTCACCTTCTTGATGAGGAAGAAACAATTGAAATTGAAGATATGGCCCACATGTTGGGCTTGTACCTTCACAAAATGGTGGACAATGGTGTCTGGCTTCTCCTAGAACCCTTAGGGACTAGAACGCAGATAGCAATAGCACTTAGACTTATATACCACTTCACAGTGCATTACAGCACTCTCTGAGCTGTTTATAGAGTCAGTAGATTGTCCCCAACAATCTGGGCTCTTATTTTACCGACCTCAGAAGGATGAAAGGCTGAGTCAACCTTGAGCCTGGTGAGAATCGAACCCTTGGCAATGGAATGCAGAGTTAGCCTGCAATACTGCATTCTAACCACCACGCCACCACAGCTCTTAAATTGGCCCCACTGATTTTGGGGATTCTCAAGTATCCAGGCTTGACTTCTGGATGAGTTTTCAACCTTCACTTTTGGTACCTTATGAGAACTTTTGGCACTGCTTCTAGGCCTTGTTGGATTGCTGCTTGTTTTGACAAGTGTTGTTGTTTTATAATGTTCTTGATCATGCATTTCAATCTCAGATGTAAACTAACTTCATCATTGATACCAAAGGATAACAACGGAATGGTTTACATGCTAATGCCTCCAGTGAAGCAGAAACTCAAAACTTGGCTGGTGAGATGGGAGAAGAAGCTTTCACCTTGCCACATGTATCTTTGTACAAATGGCAATGAAAGCCTTTGAACATGCGTTAAAATGACACAGGAGAGCTAAAGTCAGAATATTAAGGAATAGTAAAGGGAAAAGGGTGCGACCAACTATTTGTAGCATGTATCTTTCAAGTCTTTCCTCCAATAATGAGCACATTTGCTAATTATGGAGAAAGCTCACCTGACATAGCCAAGATACCTGCAAATGTTTTTCATCAGAATACAGAATAACAGAGTTGGAAGGGACCTCGGAGGTCTTCTAGTCCAACCCCCTGCTCAGGCAGGAAACCCTACACCAGGGGGTCAGCAACCTGCAGCTCTGGAGCTACATGTGGCTCTTTCACCCCTCTGCTGCGGCTCTCTGTCACTCAAAATATGTGTCACAACTCCAATGTGTGACAACCGCCGGCACGCGATTTATTGAACTTTTCAACTCCCGGTAAGCCAACCATGGATAAATCCAAGAAAAGAAAACTTTCAGAAGAAAACAAAATGTTTAATTCAACTACATATGCTAGTTTTGAGGCCGCTCAAGAAATAGTCAGGCACGGGAAGGGTTTTGTGGCTCCCGGTGTTTTCTTTTCTGTGGGAAACGGGTCCAAATGACTTTTTGAGTGTTTAAGGTTGCAGACCCCTGCCCTACACCATTTCAGACAAATGGTTGTCCAATCTCTTCTTCGAAAAACTTCCAGTGTTGGAGCACCCACAACTTCTGGAGGGCAAGTTATTCCACTGATTAATTGTTCTGTTAGGAAATACTTCCTTAGTTCTAGGTTGGTTCTCTCCTTGATTAATTTCCATCCATTGCTTCTTCTCTTGCCTTCTGGTGCTTTGGAGAATAGGCTTACCTCCCTCTTCTTTGTGGCAGCCCTTCAAATATTGGAACTTTGCTATCATGTCATCCCCAGTCCTTCTTTTCATTAAACTACTTCTTTTCTCCTCTGGCGCAGTGGTTAGAGTGCAATACTTCAGGCTACTTCTGCTGACTGCTGGCTGACTGCAATTTGGCAGTTCAAATCCCATCAGGCTCAAGGTTGACTCAGCCTTCCATCCTTCCGAGGTGGGTAAAATGAGGACCCAGATTGTTGGGGGCAATAGGCTGACTCTGTAAACCGTTTAGAGAGGGGCTGTAAAGCACTGTGAAGCGGTATATAAGTCTAAGTGCTATTGCTATTGCTCTCCTGTCCTTCTATCAGCCTCCCTCCCTCCCTCCCTCTGCCTCTTCTCTTGATGCTTTGCACACCTCATGTTGTGGGTGAAAGTGTGTTTCCGATGTTCCATCTCCTGCTCAGTGTCGTAGCTCTTTCCAAAGCGTTTTCTGTAATGGTGGAACAGACTGTGGGCACGATCCTCCTGTCCACCAACGAAGTCAGCCATTGGATTGGCCATGATGTGGTGCTCTGTGGAATCTCCTGGCAGCTCATCACACAGTTTTGTTTCTAGGGAGGAAGAACAATGCATATGTGGATGTCACAATACCCACGGAGCACCAAAATGCAATAATCCAGTTCACAAATCCAGAGAAATATTCTGAAACCAGGGAATCTGAAGAGTTCTAAGGGCTGGCTTGACTACAGGTATGTTCACTGTCTTGAATTCTGTGTAAAAAAGTGGGATAAAAATTAAAAATTGAGGATAATATGCAGTTTTAAGCCACATTGCTCTCTTTCGCAAGAATAAATTATTCCTATCTTACATGATCCAAGTTGCCAAACATCAAATCAATATAGGAACACAGAGAAGGGAAGGGCAAACAGCTCCAGGCCAGAAAGTCATTAAAAGATCATATAAATTTCCAAGTGCCTTAAGCAAGTGGCCTACGGAGAGGGTGGAAATTGCATCTGAAGCGCTGTAATACAAGCCATAAAATCTGTCCAAATTAAGATTATATAATATCCCTGCAAACTCCCTTGGCTCTGATAGGGTGGAATGGAAGAAGAAAGAAGAAGGAGAAGGAGAAGGAGAAGGAGAAGAAGGAGAAGGAGGAGAAGGAGAAGGAGAAAAAAGGAGAAGGAGGAGGAGAAGGAGAAAAGGGAGAAAAAGAAGGAGAAGGAAAAAAAGGAGAAAAAGGAGGAGGAGGAGGAGGAGGAGAAAAAGGAGAAGGAGAAAAAGAAGGAGAAAAAGGAGGAGGAGAAGAAGAAGGAGAAAAAGAAGAAAAAGAAGGAGGAGGAGAAGGAGGAGGAGAAGAAGAAGGAGAAAAAGAAGGAAAAGGAGAAGGAGGAGAAAGAGAAGAAGAAGAAAGGAGGGGGAGGAGGAGAAACCTTTTCATTTGGGTGTTTCAGTTTTGGCTTGTGCTGCTAGGAACAGGAGCCTGTGGAGGTGAAAAATGGCAATTGGAAACCAGTATAATTGTTGGGTTTGCAAGCTCAAAGGGGCACAGAAAGAAATAAGGAAATTGTGTTATCCCAGTTCAGAAATCTGTCAGCTGTTTGCTGTTATTGCTATGCTGTTCCTTTTTTTTTTAGAGGCAGTCTTCAATTTATGACCTCAATTGAGATCAGAATTTCTGTTGTTAAACAAGGCAGCTCTTGAGTCATGCCTGATTTTACGATCTCCCCCACCCCTGGTGGTTGTTAAGCAACTCATTGCAGTCATTAAGGGAATTCTGCGCTCATTTAGCCAATCTGGCTTTCCCCCATTGTCAAGGACATGCAGCACACTCCAACCCATTCAACTATATAAAATAGAAAAGGCCATTCAGTAGGGATGTCAGCTGGTCAAGAGCCAGATCCTAAGAAGCCTCATCTTTAGAGAGCCCCATAGCTGGACATTCTAAATCAGAAGTCTTCAAACTTGGCAGCTTTAAGACTTGTGGACTTCAACTCCCAGAATTCTCCAGCCAGCAATTCTGGGAGTTGAAGTCCACAAGTCTTAAAGCTGCCAAGTTTGGGGATCCCTATTCTAAATGATGGTATCTCCCCCTATAAAATAACCTGATCCCATTTATATGAATCACCATTTCTCTGATGAAACCATTTCCACAGAGAAGTGGGACAGAACATTTGGGGGAGATATTAAATTCGGGACCTGCCCCAGTTGGGTTCCGTCGATATGATGTAGATTGTTTTCTCTTTGTTCTGTTGTTCTCAATCCTTATTTTTGCTCTAGGGCTGTTCACAGCTGTTTCAAGTGGAGTGGCACAGAAATGTCAGGGACAAATAAAGAAACAAATAAACAAGCAGATTAAAGAGAAGCTTGAGCTACTGAATGTACGGCATCCTAGCTGTCCCAGAAATGGACCAAATTAGTAAACCCACAAAGCTGGGGGGGAAAAAATGTCCATGGCTTATGTTTTTGAGGACAAGAACTCAAACGGAGTTTGCTATAGGCCAGTGATTCTCAATGTTGGTTGCTTGAAGATGTGTGAACTCCCAGAATTCTTCAACCAGAACACAGAAGCTGAAGTTCACACTTCTTAAGTTTCCCAAGGTTAAGAAACAATGCTATTTAGGCCATGTAGAAATATCATCATCATCATCCTCATCCTCATCCTCATCCTCATCCTCATCATCATCTCAGGTTGGTTGAGGCAACAGGTTGGATTTTACCTCATCTCACCTTGTCAAGCCACTGTATACTTTTCCGAGAGTCAAGGCCACGGACCCTGTAGAGCAGGGGTGTCAAACTCAATTTCATTGAGGCAGTTTGGCGGTTCGAATCTATTTATTTATTTGTTTATTGGTTCGATTTATATGCCGCCCTTCTCCGGAGACTCAGGGCGGCTTACAATGCGTTAAGCAATAGCCTTCATACTTTTGGATATACCTGCTTAGTAGGGCTTTCAGGCCCCCCTAAGCGGTGTTTTTTTTAATACAAAGTCAGCTTATTGCCCCCACAGTCCGGGTCCTCATTTTACCTACCTCGGAAGGATGGAAGGCTGAGTCAACCTTGAGCCTGGTGAGATTTGATCTCACCAGGCTCGCAGTAATTGCAGGCAGCTGGCAGCTAAGTGCTACTTTAACAGCACTTTAGTCCACTGCACCACCAAGGCTCCTAATCCCTAGTAGAAGTCTCCTGCATAAGCAGGGGGTTGGACTAGATGACTTCCAAGGTCCCTTCCAACTCTATTACTGTTACCTCGAAGAGCCAGGGGTGGGTGGGAGTGGTTTGGCTGGCAAAGTGCTGCAGGAGGCTGTGGAGACCGAAAATAGCCAGCAGAGCAGTGATGGGTTGCTACCGGTTCTACCTTGATCAGCGAACCAGTAGAGGCGGTGGCGGTGGGAGGCTCCACCCACCTGCGCCAGACTCTTCTGTGCATGCGCAAAAGCACACAAGCGCACACGAGCGAACTGGTAGCGATTGGTTTTGCAACCCATTACTGCAGCAGAGGCACAATGGGCCGTCCCGTTGATATTTCCAGATTTAAGCCTTGAGTTTGACACCCCTGCTGTAGAGTGATTCTCTACTCTTAGAACAAAAAGCATTTCCAAAAATTGAGCAATGCCTGCAGAGGTGCTCTTGCTAATTCTACCGTGTGCTTACAACAGTTCATTTAGTGACCATTCCAAGTTACAGGGAGTGTAACTTATGACCGTTTTTCACTCTTATGACCCTTGCAGCATCCTCATGATGATGTGATCAAAATTCAGATGCTTGGCAACTGACTTGGTAGCTGCTCTTCCGTCTATTCATCAGCGCCATTCTTACACTTTTGTTCTCAATCTTTTAGTTTATTCTGTGTAATAGAACCACCCGATTGCTATCCAACCCAACATGGAGATTTAGCTTGAGAGTATACCAGGGGTGGGCTTCCAAAATTTTAGCAAGGGATTCTCTGCCCGGTTGCTGGGTGGGCATGGCCATGGTGGGCATGGCCTAGTCGGCTTCCTGCACCATGGCGGGGGTGGGAGCTTTTGCCCTCCCCGGGCTCCGGAGGCTTTCCTCGAGCCTTGGGAGGGCGAAAACGGCCTCCCCAGGCTCCGGAAGCCCTCTGGAGGCTGAAAACGGCCTGTTTTCGGCCTTTCCAAACTTCCAGTCGGCCTGTTTTTCACCCTCCCAGAGCCTCCGCGTGCGCCCTGCACTTACCTGCATCCAAAACGGGCTGCGTGGGGACTCCTGGGAGGGGTGGGGTAGGGTGGGAGGATTAGCCACCCAGGAGTGGGATTTGGGGGTTTCTGAATTGCACAGAATCTTAGCTAGAGGTTCTCCCGAACCCCTGCGAACCTCGAGCAACCCACCCCTGGAGTGTACCCTTTAGCTTCATTTTTTTTCTCTCTCTGAGAAGAGCGTCTGCTTGGGTATGACATGTGATTCTGATCCCTGCAGTGTTGTGAAGTTTGCAACAACGGTAGTCAGCCTGCACACAATGGGCAAAAGCTCGAGGGCCCATCTCCCCAAATATTTTGGCATGCAGCCAGGAGATTGAATCCTTCTGACTCACCATTTGATTTCAGGACGAAGACGGAAGCTGGGAAGCTGTTGGAGAAGTCGCTGTAATTGATCTCATACTTGTCGTAGTGGGATCCCAGCAAGCTGTTGTAGCCCTTCATCTCGTAATGCACCGGGGTGACTCCACAGCTGGCGTTTGTCACCCACATCGTATAGATATTCTTCTTCTTGCCCCAGTTGGTTATGCTCTGCCACACGGAGGTGTAGATGCCTTTGAAGTATTCTTCTCTTACAAACTGGAGGAACAACAGAGAGAAGCCTTTGAAAGAGGCACAAGAGAGGCTGCGTTGTATCAATAAAGGAGAACATTTGTAGCTTAAGGTTGAAACGAGGGGTCTTCAGTGCTCTCTGAACTTGGTTGTTTTCTTGCAGTTCGGTAATAAAACATCTGCAAAAAAACAACCAAATTCAGAGCGCATCAAGGACCCCCCTCAAACTGCATTGTTCCAGTCAAGCTTTTTGATTGGAATTGCATACTGTACTAAGCCTGGTTCTTGTAACCGTATATCAGTGGTGATATTGAGCCGATTCTATTCTGCTCTGCCCACCTGCCCAGGTGTAATCACGTCCCATTTTTGATGCTCTGCGCATGCGCGGAGATGGCACCTGTGAGTGAGGCGAGCATGCTCATGTGCGCGCTCACTTTTGCAAACTGATAGCGAAGGTAAGTAAATGCCACCCCTTCTGTATATGTATATTGCATATTGTATTGTATATTGTAACTGCATATGGCTGCAGGCCAGGGGTGGGTTCTACTTACCGTTCGCAACGGGGCTGCGTGTGTGATTAAAGCTTGCGCAAGCGCTCTTCTGCACATGCGCAGAAGCATTTTGATGACGTCAGGGTCGATGGGCGGGGCCTCCCGCCGGTTTTACTACCGGTTCTATAGAACCAGTGCGAACTGGGGGTAACCCACCACTGCTGTAGGCTTTGGGTCTGGCTAGTCTAAAGAAAAGAAGAATTAGGGGTGACATGACAGCAGTATTCCAGTACTTGAGGGGCTGCCACAAAGAAGAGGGGAGGTCAAATTATTCTCCAAAGCACTGGAGGGCAGGACAAGAAACAATGGTTGGAAACTGATCAAAGAGAGAAGCAACCTGGAATTAAGGAGAAACTTCCAAACAGTGAGGACAATTAACCAGTGGAACAGCTTTCCACCAGAAATTGTGGGTGCTTCATCACTGGAGGTTTTTAAGAAGAGACTGGACAGTCACTTGTCTGAGATGGTATAGGATCTTCTGCTTGAGCAGGGGGCTGGACTAGAAGACCTCCAAGGTCCCTTCCAGCTCTATTGCATTCTAATTCTAATACACCGGGGGAAAAAACAACAATCCCAAAATTGGCTAAAGTCACTCAAGTTACTGCAGAAGAATTCATGGCTTACAAACCACAATATAGCTAGGCTAAAACGTCATGGTAAACGAAAGCCACATGATTGCTTAGGACAGGGGTGTCAAACTGGATTTCTTCAAGAGCCAGATTAGCATTATAGTTCTCCTCCACAGGGCAGAAGGGGGAGGTGGGGAGCAGGGAGGGAGCAGACAGGATGGATTCCTCCTGCACTTTACTGGACAAAACAGGGTGCAGAGGGGGTCACGTGCGGGCCATTTTCAGCCTCCATGGCCTCCTGCAGCACTCTGCTGGCCAAAAATGGGCCACAGGGGTGCCTCGGGAGGCACAGTGGGCTGGTCCCCCAAGCTGGATTTAAGTACTTGAGTTTGACATCCCTGGCTTAGGGTATTATATGATCCCAGTCTTGAGACAACCCCAGAAGGATTAAAAAGTCCCATTATCCTCTTTGGTGTCCTCAGTTTCATCCAGAGCTCAATGTTTTACTGTTCCCCTGCTTTGTTAAAAGTTTGGAGAATGGCTTTAAGAAACAATGGGGATCATCTTTGCAGATGTTTGGGGAATTTATTTTCTATTTTAAATCCTCCTCTGTCTTCATCTTCTCTTGGAGTGTAGCCTTGGCATGCTATACAGAGGAGCCTGGGTGGTCTCTCAGCCAACAGGAGTCACACACTCATTGTCTTTTTCAATTGGCAGCTCAATTTTCTGGAAGAAGAACTTCTCATGGATGATTTAATCCATAGAGAAGTAATGATCGCTAGTGATACCAGGTGTTGAATTTGGCACCTCTACAAAGAAAGCAGGAGCTCTCCTACTGAATTACCATTCCTTCCTCCCAACTTCCTTTGTACGTGGAATGCACCAGAGGTGGGTTTCAGCAGGTTCTGACCAGTTCTGGAGAACCGGTAGTGGAAATTTTGAGTAGTTCGGAGAACCGGTAAATACCACCTCTGACTGGCCCCGCCCCCATCTATTATCTGCCTTCCGAGTCCCAGCTGATCGGGAGGAAATGGGGATTTTGCAGTAACCTTCCCCTGGATTGGAGAGAGAATGGAGATTTTACAGTATCCTTCCCTTGCCACGCCCATCAAGCCACACCCACAAAACTGGTAGTAAATATTTTTGAAACCCACCTCTGCAATGCACTTTATCAACATTATCAACATTATCCTGAGTTCTTGGTTTCACCTAAAGGGAAACCAAGTGGCAGCAGGTCTCAAGCATTGGTGGAATTCAAATTTTTTAACTACCGGTTCTGTGGGTGTGGCATGGTGGGCATGGCAGGAGAAGGATATTGCAAAATCCCCATTCCCTCCCCACTCTGGGGCCAGACAGAGGTGGTATTTGCCGGTTCTCTGAACTACTCAAAATTTCTGCTACCAGTTCTCCAGAACCTGTCAGAACCTGCTGGATTTCACCCCTGGTCTCAAGGAACCCACAACACACTTTGGACATGTCAAATCTATCTCCTGTGGGTTTTGGTTTTCCTACCAGTGACAGCCAAGCTTCCAGCCAAGTAGCCAACATCCCAAGTAGCCAAGAAATACAGCTTCTGTGTCAGCTCTATTAGTGGTTAAAGACGCTGAACCAGCCCGGGTTTGATAACCGGACCCTGCTTGATGGGGTGAGCTCCCGTTACTTGCCCCAGCTCCTGCCAACCAAGCATTTCGAAAGCATGAAAATGTGAGTAGATAAATAGGTAGTTTCCCTATTTAGAAATTGCTTCTATCAAAGAGCTAATTTTTCTTGGGTGTGAGACGAGGATGGCTGATGCCCTGTGGCTTTGTAAACGAGGCTTATAGTAGTAGATAGAACTAGAATAGTAGAATAATATTAGAATGGTAATTGGAATAGTAAAACAAAGGAGCAATTTCCTGACGGTGAGAACAATTAATCAATGGAACAGCTTGCCTCTGTAAATTGTGGGTGCTCCATCACTGGAGGTTTTTAAGAAGAGATTGGACAACCATTTGTCTGAAATGGTGTAGGACAGCGTTGGCAAACCTTTTCGGCACCAGGGGCTGAAACGGGGGTGTGTGTGTCAGCGGTGGGTTTCAAAATTTTTTACTACCGGTTCTGTGGGTGTGGCTTGGTGGGCGTGGCATGGCTTGGTGGGCGTGGCTTGGTGGGCGTGGCAGGAGAAGGATACTGTAAAATCTCCATTCCCTCCCCAATCCAGGGGAAGGCTACTGCAAAATCCCCATTTCCTCCTGATCAGCTGGGACTTGGGAGGCAGAGAATAGATGGGGGCGGGGCCAGTCAGAATTTTTACTACCGGTTCTCTGAATTACTCAAAATTTCTGCTACCGGTTTTCCAGAACTGGTCAGAACCTGCTGAAACCCACCTCTGGTGTGCGTGCATGCGTGCCAGAAACCGGAAGAGCAGCCGCCCGGCCTGCGCGCATGAAGACCAGCTGGCTGGTGCACATGCACAGGCCAGAAACCAGAAGAGTAACTGCCCGGCGTGTGCATGCGCACCAGGTGGCTGCTCTTCTGGTTTCCAGCGCTCCCAGACGTGTGAAGACCAGCTGACTGGCGCACAGAACCCAAAAGACCAACAGGCAACGTCTCACATGCCCGGAGAGATGGCTCTGTGTGCCACTTCCAGCACACTTGCCATAGGTTCGACATCACAGGTGTAGGGTTTCCTGCCTGAGCAGGGGGTTGGACTAGAAGACCTCCAAGGTCCCTTCCAGCCCGGTGAGTATATTCTAAGGTACCACTTTGGGAGGAAGGTAACAAACATTCTATGCACCTTAGTATATAATCATGCTGGCTACATGACCATGGATGGAAGCATCTTCAGACAATGTTGGTTCTCCCAGTTAAGAAACAGAGATGAGCACCACCTCCTAGAGTCGGATATGACTGGACAGGGGAAACCTTTGCCTTTCTCTTTATCAGAAAGACAGGCTGCCATGATTTCAAATGGGGGTCTTTGAAAGCAAGGAGGATTTTGAGTCCTTCATTAGCAAACTAGCTACAAACAACACTGTGAAGTTTCTCGCCCACATCTGTAGCATCGTGCTCTACCAGACAGCGATTTGGCATAGGTCAAATAACAGCTTGCCATCCGATGTGTGTGACAAATGCCACCTCGAGCAGCCATCGCAGAAGAGAGATTTCATTACTGTCAAGGCAACAGCATCTGGGTGAAACCTGCCTTGCAATTTTATTAGAAACTTGGCATGGGGAATAGCAGCTTTGTCGCAGAAATAAGTGGCTGACTCACTAAAGGCAAAGGGCAGGCTAAGCTGGCTAAGGATTTGTCCATGTGCTGTTCTCAATTGGAACAGCTTTCTTGGGCCTATCGAACGAGAGGGGGGCTGGGGATATTAGTGTTTCTCATGGTCTGTTGAAAGAACCGGAGTGCGCCGAAGGTGCAGTAATTCTTGGTCTCCAAAAGCAAGTGAGCTGGGGAAAGACTGCAGCTCAATGGTAGAAGATCTGCTTTGCATGGAGAAGACCTCCAACATCAGGGGGAAAAAAAGTGTTTTGAAATTACACATTCTAGCCAATGGCTGGCATGGTTGTTTATTTTCTAAATAAAATATTTCCCAGATAAATAACAATTTAACCAAGTCCAGGCTACATTATAACCATGATTCACAAATTGCATTGACTATATTTTACACAATGCGCTAGCAAATCATAAAATCCACATTACAATGTTGGTGCTATATCAATCTAACAAATGTGGCTTGTTCGGTTTGGCCCAACAAGTTGGGGAAAATCTGGCCATTTATAGCCTCTAAACCATAGTTTATAGCTTAGTGAAATGTAACAGCAAGTAATATCTTATTCAACAAGCCATGTTTATCACCGCTGTTTTGCATGATGGATGAATCTAGCACTTGGTCGGGTGTTGCCAATATTTGCCAAATAAGATGCAGAAAGGTATATATTTAAATTATTTAAATATCTCACTGTCCAGCCAATATGCCAGACGGAAACTATATTTTCCCCAAGTTCAGTCTTACAAAAATGTATTAGGCAGAGGAAGAGTGAAATTATTCAGATTTTTAAAATAAATAAATAATGCAAGTAGAAATAATTTTTTTTCATAAGAATGAGTTACCTTACATGTAAGAAAAAATAGAGATATAGGCAGGGGTGGGCTTCAAAACCGTTAGCAAAGGTTTTCTGCCTGGTTACTAGGTGGGTATGGCCATGGTGGGTGTGACCTAGTCGGCCTCCTGCACCACAGGGGTGGGGGGTGGGGGGTGGGGGAGTGTTTTTGCCCTCCCTGGGCTCCAGAGGCTTTTCTCGAGCCTCCGGGAGGGCAAAAACAGCCTTGCCAGGCTCTCTGGAGGCCAGAAACAGGCCCGTTTCCAGTTTTCCTGAACTTCCAGTAGCCCGTTTTTCACCCTCCCTGAGCCTCCGTGCATGCCCTGCACTTACCTGCATCCAAAACGGGCCTCGTGGGGACTCCTGGAAGGGGCAGGGTGAGGTGGGCGGGGCGGGGCAGGGCCCACCAGGAGTGGGGTTTGTGGGTTCTCTGAAGTGCACAGAATCTTAGCTAGAGGTTCTCCTGAACTCCTGCAAACCTCCAGCAGCCCACCCCTAAATATAGGATGCTTGATTCACTGTGGACACTACAAACTGACAAATTCCTCCTATTTGTGGAATAGGGGGAATGTATAGGGTTTCCTGCCTAAGCAGGGGGCTGGACTAGAAGACCGCCAAGGTCCCTTCCAACTCTGTTTATTCTATTCTATTCTTTCCAAAGATCAGCCAGGTAACTTTCCAGCTACAAATCCAGCTTGACGTCTTGGACCCCTTTCTTCTCCCATTGCTGAGCTTTGTTGACTCACCTTGAAATCTTTCATGTCGGGAAAGACTCCTTGTGGCTTCACATGGCTTTCTTTGGTGCCATTTAACAGGAAGCACTTCTGAATATTGACCACATTTTCTGTGGTGGCTGGTGTAATCTTGAACAAGGCACCATAGGGCTCTAAACATCCAAGCTGCAGCGTCACCACCTGGCCTGCAAAAATGACCATGTGAGGTAAACAAACGGTAAACAAAATGAAGAAGGAAAGAAATGTGGCTAAGCCACAAAGCGCACACACGAAGGATCTCTGGCTTGCTCAAGCAAAAGGATCGTGTAGCAGGAAGCCATCTGTTGAAACTCCTTCTGAGGAACCCATACAGTCGTGCGGAGATCCCAATTCAAAGGGCAAAATATACAGTATTTTTCAGAGTATAAGACGCACTCCCTCCCCCCTCCAAAAGAGGCTGGAATTTTTGGTGCGTCTTATACTCTGATTTGAGGCGCTAGTGAGTGAAGCAATCTTCCATGCTTTGCCTGCTTCTCTCATTGCTGCTCCCTGACAATCAGCTGTGCTTTAGAAGGTGTATTTCAGCCCCAACCAGGGACCCGCTCAAAACCAGTGAACTAATGTGCTGAAATTGACCAGACTAAGGATGCTAGCAGGATGAATACCTAGTAGGCAGAATTTTTTCCCCCTATTTTCCTCCCCAAAAACTAAGGTGCGTCTTATACTCTGGTGCGTTTTATACTCTGAAAAATGTGGTAATTTGGAGCAGATCCATGCGTGTTGTTCCAAATCACAATTTCCCTTTCCCAAGGCAAACAAAAATGCAACAGACAAGTTAGGCCCCTTTTTCTTTCACTTCTCATTCAACTGGATGAAACAAAGGAGGAACTATTGCAGGAACTGGTTATGTCTAGTTTAATGAAAAGAAGGACTAGGGGAGACATGATAGCAGTCTTCCAATATCTCAAGGGCTGCCACAACGAAGAGGAAGCTAAGCTATTCTCCAAAGCACCTGAGGGCAGGACAAGAAGCAATGGGTGGAAACTAATCAAGGAGAGAAGCAACCTAGAACTAAGGAGAGATTTCCTGACAGTGAGAACAATTCATCAGTGGAACAACTTGCCTCCAGAAGTTGTGTGTATGCCCCAACACTTGAGGTCTTTAAGAAGAGATTGGCCAGCCATTTGTCTGAAATGGTATAGGGTTTCTTGCTTGAGCAGGGGGTTGTCCTAGAAGACCTCCAAGGTCCCTTCCAACTCTGTTATTCTGTTAAATTGTGTCAAAGGAGAAGACCACTTTGGAAAAGGTGGAATGAAGTTTTTTCCCAGGTGGAATAAGGTTTTAAAATACGTTTACCATATTTTTTAAAAAAGCAGTCCTCCCTGTTCCCTTTGATCTTCTTTCTAACCAGGCCTTTGCCTTAATGGAGATCATGCTAATAATCACTTATGTAATATCACATAAATTACGTATTATTTGCTCTTGTTCCGGAATATTTAGGAAATCACCATTTTCATATCCAGGGAACAGGGAATTCCATAACACTTAGTCTTTTCTATTTGTTGCATTCCAGGTGAAACATTGCTCATCTAACTGGTAGCATTTAGTCAGCCTTGGCTGATCAGGAGAAAATTAGGCTGGAAGGTAAGCCACCAGGAAGTCCCAGAGCTTTTGGCTGGACTGGAAAGTTTAAAAAAAAGTACCTCAAAAGAACCTAATGGCAAGCCAGCAAGTTGTTTGTAAAACTACATGGATGGATGTCCATGAAGTCACCGGAATCAAACAAGATCCGAAGAGACTTCCTGTTCCATAACAAATTAGAGGATTATGCCTAAATCTCTTTCCTCCATACAAACACATTCATTAGATCTTCTGTTGCCTAACTGGAGTGCCTCTTCATGCAGAGATGAAATAGTAGCTCATTAGAGAGACGCCCGTATCTGAAACATCTTCTCAGATGAGTCTCCTGGCAGGCTTAATGAGTTGGGAAATTCTCCTTATGGTCACCTAGCTGTAGGAGAAGTGTGGGCAGAGCTGAGGGCAGAGATAAGTGTGTCATCAACTTGGAATTATGACATTCCCACAAGTAGTTCAAGTCCAACCTCTCCTGAATTCTGTTGATCCTAATCTGGCGCCAATTTAATATTGAATTTTAGTAGATTGCAGCACAGAATTCTATGCTGCAATCTAATGGATTGTCCTGATTCTTTTCATCTGACATTAGCTTAGTTGCCTCCATGTGCTCTGTTGTTTCCCTATGCTGACTGGGTTCAACTTCTGAACCTTGGTTGAGGGAGGACATCTCAAATGTTTAGCAGTGAATGCAGCTCACATGTACATATGTAGAGAGGGAAGCCTTTTGCCACCACAGTTTGGAGAAAATATCACAACTGGCTAAAAGTTTGTAGAGATTCTCAGTCATCCAGGTCATGATTGTCCCAAAGGTGTTTTTTTTCAGGAGGCAACTGGACTTTCATTTTTTTCTTTTGAAGACGTTTCACTTCTCATCCAAGAAGCGTCTTCAGCTCTGGCAGGATAGTGGGGAATGAAATGATTTATATTCCTTAGCAGAGAGCTGGTAATTTGCATTCTTTTAGAGAGGGTCATTGAAGCACTTGGAGGTTTATCTGTGTCCTCAGGGCGCTTTCAGCCTTTTAGCTATACAATTTGGGATGAACACCCATTGAATGGTGTGGGAGTAGGAATGGATTTCCAGAGGAAAAATTGCAGATTACAGGAATCAGGAGCACCACTCAGATGACCCTGAGGACACAGATAAACCTCCAAGTGCTTCACTGACCCTCTAAAAAGATGCAAATGACCAGCTGTCTGCAAGGAGTATAAATCCTTCTGTTCTCCACTATCTTCAAAATAATAATAATAATAATAATAATAATTTTATTTCTATACCGCCCTTCTCCCGAAGGACTCAGGGCGGTGTACAGCCAATTTAAAAACACAAAACACAACAATGATTAAAAATTAAAACAATTAAATAGATTTGGCCGGTTTAAAACCCCAAAAATTTAAAATACCCCAATTTAAAATTATTATACTGATAGCCCGGCCTGGCGGAACAACAGGGTCTTCAGTGCGCAGCGAAACACCTGGAGGTCGGTGTGAGTGATAACCAGGAGCACTGCGAGAAAGTCTAGTTGCCTCCTGAAAAAGCACCTTTGGGACACAACTGGCTAGCTTCACATAACATAAAAAGCCACAAACCATGTTTTAAGTCCCAAAGGCAAGGCTCACCCATCACCCAAAGCCCAAACTACATACACTTTAACAACGATTTGCGAACCAGATCTTGGGAGTGGCACTCCATCCATTTAAATTGGAGCCTTTTACAGTGGCATTATCCAGGACTGAACTCTAGGCTTGCTGTGTTCAAAAACGCATGTGCTCTTTTCACTAAGCCAGGGGTGGGCAACTGTGGCCCTTTTACAACCTGTGGACTTCAACTCCCAGAATTCCTGAGACAGCTTGGCTGTTCCTGAGACAGCTTGGCTGTCTCAGGAATTCTGGGAGTTGAAGTCCACAGGTTGTAAAAGGGCCACAATTGCCCACCCCTGCACTAAGCTACATTGGCTCAGATTCATTCTATCAGGTCCTCACTGGGGTGGAGTTTTCCTGCTAATTCAATATTAATTACAAAACTGTGGACTTGGAACAAACTGTGAGAAAGGTTCTTTGGATAATCAAAATGCCAAGGACAAGCTGAACCAGGAAGGATCTGTTTGAACAGACTGTACCTTCTTGGCAGGTTGGTCCATCAAACAACCATTCCTAGCAATCGTGACAAATTCTTGCTTGATGAATTATATGTCCGTCCGAACACACATGTGCAGGGAAAATGCTAGAGTGGATTACAACGATGATCTACCAAAGATCAGGAGAAGGTCAAAGTACACCTGATGGGTAAAAGTACTCTGCCATGAATCACGATATCTGTGATCAAGAGCCGGCTGAAACCAACTCAACCACTCCTTTAACTGTCTTCTAAATTGTAGCAATATTTCATGACAAGATTGATGAACGTTGGCTAGCCAGAGTCCAACACTTTCAGGTTATAAATTAGGAGGAAAAAAAAAGAGGCGCTCTGGGTATGTGTGTGTGTGAGAGACGCGTGTAAGAGTGTGCATATAGTGTGTAAGAGCTCCTCTAATCGATAACTGTTTTCTTTGCTGTTTTTTGCCTGCTGCTTCGGTCACTGTCTTCTCCACCCTGAGAAATATTGGTGGAAAGCAAGAAGCTACAAGACAAAAGTTGCTAACTATCTGATTAATAATTTAGATAACCTCTCTGCTTACATTAGTTGGGAAAATCATGTTGGTCAGCAAAGTGTACCTCTAATTAGCTGTGCTAAGATTGAGAAACCTAAAGGGACCATTGTATTCAAGCCCTGGTCCAGTAAACCAATGAAATTATCATCATGTACGCTGTTGCCTTTGCTTTGTCCCCTGGGGACAAAGTTCTTAAGAGGGAACAATGCTCCCCCCTCTATGTCCCCCTTCCCAAGAGGGACTAGCCCAATCCTCTGCCGTGTGCAAGAAAACCAATGTTATTCTATATATTGCAGTTGACTACTGCAACGCTCTCTACCTAGGGCTGCCCTTGAAAACCACTCGAAGGCTTCAGCTGGTGCAGAATGCGGCCACACGGGTTGTGATGGGAGCATCCTGACACTCCCATGTTACACCCCTCCTGCGCGACTTGCATTGGTTATCGGTTGCCGTTCGGGTGAGGTTCAAGGTGCTGGTTATCACCTACAAAGCCCTTCATGGCCTAGGCCTGGGATATTTGTCAGACCCCCTGCAGCCAGCGACAATTCCCGATCGCCCGGTGCATTCCCACAGACAGGGCCTCCTCAGGGTGCCGTCCACCAGACAGTGTTGGCTGGTGACCTCCAGGGGGAGAGCTTTCTCTGTGGCGCACCCACCCTTTGGAACCAACTTCCTTTGGAGCTCCGGATGGACCCTAATCTTTGCTCGTTCCACCGCGATTTGAAGACCTGGTTGTTCCACAGCCTGGACTGATGGGGGGGTTTCTTAATGAATTTTAAATTGTTTTAAATTGGAATTTTAATTTTATATTGTCTTTTAATGAGGAACTGTGCATCTTTACCATTGTGAGCGACGCTGAGTCCTTGGAGATAGGGCGGCATATAAATTGCATTATAAATAAATAAATAAATATTGCATTTGTTTTTGTTTCTATTCTTGAGACAAAGAGATAATTCTAACTTTAGGGGACTTGGTGCTCTCTGAGCTTGGTTCTTTTCTCGCAGGCCTTTCATTATCCAACTAGGTAACATCATCAGTGCTAGATGGAAGTGGGATTTGCTCTCTATTTTGTTGTGTACTTTTGGCAGATCCCAGGGAACTGAAGATTAGTGGTCATTTTATCCTAACTTTGCCTAGAGTTTGTATATTCCTTTTCTAATATTTATCTTTCGATGTGAAATTTTATATCTATTGTTTTGATATTAGTTGTTTGATTCCACCCGAGGTTGCTTTTCGGGAGACAGGCAGCTATACCAGTTTGATCCGTAAATTGTAAATCTTCAGAGTTGGGTCAACATATCCTGGTTTGCCATTGACCTGTTTGACCCCTTTTGGAGATTTAATTCTCCACAAAATGAAAACTGTGGGTTCTTCTCTTTTCATTTAGTGAAGGCACCAGTTTCTTACCGTTATAATATTCAATGCGACTCTTGTTCCCAGTCAAGTTGTACCAGGCTTCAAACGGCTCTTCGATTTCAGCGTAAGGGAGACTGATGACTCCTGCAGGACACAAGGAGTGACTCGGATCAATCAAACATTTGCTATAGAAAAGTCTAGGTGGAAACACCACGAAATTTAGGGTTATTGATTGTAGGAGATGACCAGGCTGAGCCCAAGGGTGGGGTCAAATGCATCATTAGTTTGGAGTGTCTATGCCCCCGTCACTTAAGAACTTTAAAGATTTGTTTAACAACCATGACAAAAAAGGTCATATCCAGTGGTGGGATTCAGCCAGTTCGCACCACTTCGGGAGAACCGGTTGTTAACTTTCTGAGCAGTTTGGCAAACAGGTTTTTGGAAGAAATCATAGGCAGAGAACCGGTTGTTAAATTACTTGAATCCCACCACTGGTCATATCAATGGGTATGACTCACTTAACAATCATCTTGCTTAGCAACAGAAATTCTGGTATCAACTGTGGTCGTGAATTGAGGACTATCTGGATAGATAGATAGATAGATAGATAGATAGATAGATAGATAGATAAGATGATACATGATACATGATACATGATACATGATACATGATACATGATAGCTAGATGATAGATAGTTGATAGATAGTTGATAGATAGATGATAATATAGATAGATAGATAGATAGATAGATAGATAGATAGATAGATAGATGATACATGATACATGATACATGATACATGATACTAGATGATAGATAGTTGATAGATAGTTGATAGATAGATGATTAATAGATAGATAGATAGATAGATAGATAGATAGATAGATAGATAGATAGATAGATAGATAGGCAGACCCCATCTTTATGTAAGAAATGTTGAGTCTACTTATGTAAAAGACCAACAAAAATCCATTTTTTCAAACTTGTTTCTAACATTTTCTTAACATTAACAAGCAATTTAGCTGAAAAACAAGGAAAGTGGTATTTTCCATCACAAAGGAAAAACATGAACTTCACAAAGGTCTGTTCAATCTTAAACTCCCAGAGTAACTTTTCCAATTAGGCAGTGACACAACGAGAGATGTTACATTGACAGCTATTAATTTGCATGGCATTTTCTTGGAAATAGGGCATGTCTAGTTTTGGGGTTTTTCTTTTTTTAAAAAAATGTGTTCGGTGATCTCTCAGGCTCCACTGTGGTTATACTAAAGGCCTGCCTAGGTGGGGATATCCATTATTTGTGCAACTGCCTTGCTCACATATATTATGAGATAAATATAAATTGCACATTTAGGTTTTACTTTAAAGAAAAGCAAGCTGAAGTAGTCTCCTATTGTGTGATTCATGAAATCTGTCTTTATAGTTAATATTGTTATGCTTTTATGATGTTAAGCCAAACATCCTCTCTCTCCTTCTTATGGAAATCCTAGAATAGAATAGAATAGAATAGAATAGAATAGAATAGAATAACAGAGTTGGAAGGGACCTTGGAGGTCTTCTAGTCCAACCCCCTGCTCAAGCAAGAAACCCTACACCACTTCAGACAAATGGTTAGCCAACACCTTCTTAAAAACTTCCAGTGTTGGAGCATCTACAACTTCTGGAGGCAAGTTGTTCCACTGATTAATTGTTCTAACTGCCAGGAAATTTCTCCTTAGTTCTAAGTTGCTTCTCTCCTTGATTAGTTTCCACCCATTGCTTCTTGTCCTGCCTTCAGGTGCTTTGGAGAATAGCTTGACATCCTCTTTTTCATGGCAGCCCCTGAGATATTGGAACACTGCTATCATGTCTCCCCTAGTCCTTCTTTTCATTAAACTAGACATACCCAGTTCCTGCAACCATTCTTCATATGGTTTAGCCTTCAGTCCCCTAATCATCTTTGTTGCTCTTCTCTGCACTCTTTCTAGAATCTCCATATCTTTTTTACATCGTAGTGACCAAAACTGAATGCAATATTCCAAGTGTGGCCTTACCAAGACATTATAAATTGGTATTAACACTTCATGGGATCTTGATTCTATCCCTCTGTTTATGCAGCCTAGAACTGTGTTGGCTTTTTTGGCAGCTGCTGCACACTGCTGGCTCAATCTAAATGGTTGTCCACTAGGACTCCAAGATCCCTCTCAGAGTTACTACTATTAAGCAAGGTACCACATATACTGTACCTGTGCATTCTGTTTTTCTTGCCTAAATGTAGAACCTTACTTTTTTCACCATTGAAATTCTATTCTTCTTTCTTTCCATAAAATTCAGGCAAAGTCTTATTGACCCAAAGGATCTACTCATTTAGAAACGCCTTTGTTTTTCTCCTCAATTTCTTTTTTTCCCCCTCTCACTCTCTCTCTATATATCTGAGATAACAGGACTAGGTGGAACGTGAGAAGACTACAGAACAGCACCCTGTTGGCATTTAGACAAGGAAAAGGGATTAACTTTTATTAAAGAACTTAAAACAGGTTGCAAAGAGGTTCCCTCAATATTAGAATTGATCCAAAAGCTGTCAGTCCTATCTTTCTCTGTCCCTAAATATGCACTCATAAATCTGTCAGTTTGACAGATGGAGGCTTGATTGGGAGGACGATGAATCTCCCTTGATCCAACTTTCCACTCAGACCTCCCAAATACCTCCATCCTCAATTCTCCCCTACCTCCAGAATACAATCTCAGAGTCAATTCCCTGGGCTACCATGCTTTGATGGACAGTTCTAATAACCAGGCATCACAGAAGCGCTAGAAGTCTTTTGCTGATTAGGGAGGTATATAAATCAATCAATCTCATAGGTGCCACAACTGACTCAGAACAGTTGTGAGGTTGGTGGTATGACAGCTCTTTTTTTTTTTAGATCTTCAGGGGTTTCCCCCCCCTCCCAAAAATCCTCAAAAACCAGTGCTTGTTTAAAATATTTTGGATCAGAAAGCAATCATGACTTTCAACTGGTCCTCACATTTGCACCTGATGGTAGGACAAGAAGCAATGGATGGAAACTTATCAAGGAGAGAAGCAACTTAGAACTAAGGAGAAATTTCCTGACATTTAGAACAATTAATCATTGGAACAACTTGCCTCCAGAAATTGTGAATGCTCCAACAATGGAAGTTTTTAAGAAGATGTAGGATAACCATTTGTCTGAAGTGGTGTAGGGTTTCCTGCTAAGCAGGGGGTTGGACTAGAAGACCTCCAAGGTCCCTTCCAACTCTGTTGTTCTGTTCTGTTCTGTTCTGTTCTATTCTATTCTATTCTATTCTATTCTATTCTATTCTATTCTATTCTATTCTATTCTATTCTATTCTATTCTATTCTATTCCTATTCCTATTCCTATTCCTATTCCTATTCCTATTCCTATTCCTATTCCTATTCCTATTTCTATTTCTATTTCTATTCTTTGACCATTGCAGCATCCCTACGGTCACATGATCCAAATTCGGGTGCTTGGCGACGGACATGTATTAATAACGGTTGCCGTGTCCCAGGGTCATGTGATCAGAATTTGCAACTTTCCCAGCTGGCTTCTGATAAGTAAAGTCAATGGATGGGGGGAGCCAGATTTGCTTAATGATCGCATGATTCACTTAACAACTGCAGCGATTACGACGGCAGCGATTCACTTAACAACCATGGCAAAGAAAAGGTTGCAAAGAATGAGGTGCGATTCACTTAGTAACTACCTTGCTTAGCAATGGAAATTCTAATTCCAGTTGTGGTTTGCCTCTTACTGAGCACAAAATTGAATGTTAAAAATGAAATCTGCCACTGTTTCCTCCTTCGGCATAGAAACTATTCTATAGAACAGGCAAGAATACCTTGTTGATTGGAGAAAAATTCCAGGAAGAAGTGAAAGAAAGCACATCGTAAAAGCTTCCTCTGCTGGCATACCCACTCCCAAGGAAAATGTAAAGTTGTAAAGCTGGATAATTGCTTTTTGTCCATGTCTGGCTTTTCAGCCTAGAGTGAAGCTACACAATGGGGATTTGCCAGGCAGCTATTAACATGCGTGAACCCGTGTGTTCATGTGCCAAAGCAAGAGAGGCACTTTGCACAACTTCAAAAGGACTGTCCCTCCTGTGGAAGGAAGGGATGTACATGTATCTTGTAGCAAAGCTTCCAAAGGCTCTTTAATGACTCCACCCTTTGATTCAGCAAAGTTTAAGATTCTGTCATCAGATAAACTCATTCCTGGAAAGATACACCAAGCTCAATAAATCTGGGTGCCTCTAGATCTCTCCTAAGATTTGCCAAAAACCTACACAGGTAAACAAAAAAAAAAGGGAAGAAGCTTAAAGCAAGGCATTCCCCAGAGAAAACTCTGCCCAGGTAGGTTAGCAGGATTCTGACAAGCTCCCCACCCTTTTCTGTTTGGCTAAGGGGAAGATGCCAATTATAGTCTAGATTTTGCTTCCTGTCAAATCTTTGCTGGTGCAAACTTGCATTTTTAACGCGCCCATAACCCACAGTCATAAAAAGAGCCTAAACTGGATACTTCACAAAAAATGGTTGCAAAATGTAACACAACATTGCACAATTGAGAAAAGTGTGGGGAAGAAAAGGCAGTGTGAAGTGTGTACACATCACTGTTCCAGATGGCCAATTATTTTCTTCAAGGTGATTGTATGTTCTTGGCGTGCACCCTGAATCCTGAACCCTGGCCTCTTCTAGTTCTTCACTGGGGGATTTTCACATTACAGTAAATTGGTGATTATTGGCTTAGCATATTGAGTGAACCTAATCATTGTTGTTTATGAACATGGCTTAGGGCAGGGGTCAGCAATCCGCAGATCTGGAGCCACATGTGGCTCTTTCATCCCTCTGTTTTGGCTCCCTGTTGCTGGTCGGCTCCACAACTGATAGGGCTTTTGTTTAGGACAGGTAGAGGAAAAAGGACGCCACGCTAGGAGGAGACTCTATGGTGGGGGAACAGGACTTCTGGTCAGCAGAGGAAAAAGAATGCCATGTTAGGAGGAGACTCTATGGTAGGGGAACCGGACTTCAGATCGGCTCCAGAATTGAATGGGGATTCCGGTTAGGACCTTTGTGGCTCTTTGAGTGTTTAAGGTTGCCGAGCCCTGGCTTAGGGTGTGGTATGAAGCCAGCAAACCAGTTAAACAAACCAGGACTTATTGCATCCTGTGAACCTGATTGCATCTATTTTGAAAGTTTGATCTTTAACAAGTTGCTTTAACAAGTCAGGGAAGACATAAAGCCGTTATCTTTAGAACAGGACGTTGTGGAGTTATAACTGCGATTGTCTTTAAGCAAGGATTGTGATAGCTAGGGCTGATGAGATCTGGCAGTCAAGAACATCTTGAAGATCACAGATCCTCCACTGGGAGCAAAGAAGGCCAAATAGGAGAATTATATGATATGCCCTTAGAAAGCCAACAGGTGTAATCACCAATATTCAAAGGGCAATGGTCCAAAGCAGGTGTATCCAACCTTGGGAACTTTTAAGACTTGTGAACTTTAACTCTGAGAAGCCAGAGGAGGAATTCTGGGAGTTGAAGTCTACAGGTTTTTAAGTTGCCAAGACCTCTGCTTGCACCTCTGGTCCAAAAGTTAAGTTGCACCTCTGGTCCAAAAGATATTTGCACATTTTCAGTTATGCTTTACACTGCTTGGAGAGCTGCGTGGTTTACAAAGCAGAGGTTCTCAAACAAATTCAGCACCTCTATTCTCTTGAAAAGGAATTGCAAGGGAAAATGACAAATATGGTTTTAAAATTGAGTGGCTGAGTTACCCAGGTCAGATTTTTTTTTTTTTAGTCAATGTGAAGGAAAACAATTAAGAAGTGTTGGTCAGTGGCTTCCCAAAAAGGCATCCTGGATGGAACTTACCTTTGACATGGTAGAGGCCTCCAAAATCTGGGGTTGTGTTAGAATAATTGCACATATTTCCTGAAAGAAGGGAAAAGAAAGGTGAATGTAAATGTTGAATTGCATTACACTTGCCAGCAGATTTTCTGCAGAAACCAAGGAACAAAGAATGGGAAATCTAGAAGAGAAGGCTAGCATGGCAATATTGACATCATTGGGCTCATATATGATGCTAAGTCATATTATGGTCTCTTTGTTTTTCGGCATAGTGTGTTGTACCAATCAAGCTTAGTAAATCAAAATGCATGGTTCAATATGTTGCACAAAAGGGGTCATTTGTAGTTTATCAGTCCTTGACTTACAACTGGACGCTTAGTAACCATCATTAGTAAACTAAGGGGACATGGTTTAGTATGTTGCACAAACGTGGCCAAACCAAAATCCAGTTAGGGTTATGTTTAGCACAATGTACAGGTAATCCTCAATTTACAACTGGACCACTTGAAGTTGTGACAGACCTACCTTGAGGCTATTTATCACTAGGATTTGAAATTCTGATGGCTGCTCCCCCCCCCGTCATGTGACCGAACTCTGCAACGTGATCACATTTATGTCCTACAATCAAGTGGCCCTTAATGATGGTTTTTGCCAAAACCTGGCATTTACATCCGGTTTTTGCCAAAAAAACGTGCCCATTGCAAACCGTTCATTCATTTACCATCTGTGGCATTTGCTTAACAACCCCCACAAAAAAGGTCATAAAATCAGCCTGTTTGCGAGCATCACAACAACTGTGATGGACCTAAATTGGGGATTACCTGTATGAATCCCAGCCATAAACCTCCTGCTATTTGTTTTTATGCAGGTGTAATTAAGTGACAATAAGAAAATCAATACCATCCTGCTTTTAGTTCCTATTTGTAATGGAGTCACCTTGGAACAAGTTAGAAACAAACAGGGCTTCCACCCTATGTTCTTCTACCTCCAATAGAGGAGACCATAATACAGATTTATAAGCCAGGGTTGCTGTGTTGATGACAATGAAATAATGTATGCAAAGTGCTTGGACGTTTCAAAGTGGATGCATCTCACCCTGGTAGACATCCACATATCAAGCAACAACAACAAATTCATGGTACTAAAAAATGGCTGGCAGAGTTGCCCCAAATTTACTCAGCTTTGCTTCATCGCTAATAGCAACAATAATAATTCATATCGGCACACCCTTCTTTCACACCTCCAGAGTTTATTGCACTTATGGTTTAGATCAATTTCCCCAACAGTGCCTCCCATTAGAGCCCTTCCATGAGAAAATGGCAGTTAAGAAGTTTGATAGAGAAAGAGAGAGAGAGACAGAGAGACAGAGACAGAGACAGAGACAGAGACAGAGAGAGAGAGACAGAGAGAGAGGGAGGGAGGGAGGAAGGAAGGAAGGAAAGAGAGGGAGAAAGAAAGAAAGAGAAAGAAGAAGAAAGAGAGAGAGAGAGAGAGAAAGAGAAAGAAAGAGAAGAAAGAAAGAAAGAAAGAAAGAAGAAAGAAAGAAAGAAAGAAAGAAAGAAAGAAAGAAAGAAAGAAAGAAAGATTTCATGTATATAAATCACATAACGATGTTTCTTACTGGAGATATATAACGTTTCAGACAAATAGTTGTCCATCGGCCACGGATTGGACATGTCTGATCTAGAAGTTTGGAAAACCTGATTTAGATGTGAGCACATGCCAAACCAATATCCTGGTAGTCTTCAGATTATCAACTCCACTCTAAGTAGAATCTGCCCATATGCAAGATGCGTGCAAATCAGGCATCCTAGACTAGAGGATCTCCAAGGCCCGTTTGAACACTTTCAATTGTAAGTGTCTTCTGCCAAGCTTTGGACCTCAAGCAAGGAAGTAAGCCAGTGGTGGGTTTCCATTTTTTTTACTACCAGTTCTGTGGGCGTGGCTTGGTGGGCGTGGTGTGGTTTGGTGGGTGTGGCTTGGTGGGCATGGCAGGGGAAGGATACTGTAAAATCTCCATTCCCTCCCCACTCCAGGGGAAGGTTACTGCAAAATCCCCATTTCCTCCCGATCAGCTGGGACTTGAGAGGCAGAGAATAGATGGGGGCAGGGCCAGTCAGCATTTTTACTACCGGTTCTCCAAACTTCTCAAAATTTCCGCTGCCAGTTCTCCAGAATTGGTCAGAACCTGCTGAAACCCACCTCTGAAGTAAGCACCTTGATCAAGAGACAAGGGACAGAATCTTGGAAACTGCAATAGAAACCTCAAATTGATTATATTCATTAAGAGTCAGTCTCTTTGTACGATTTCCAATCTTTGTACGATTTCCAAACTTCTAAAAGTCTGGACTGAGCTGCCATTTATGAAGTAAGCTACTAAGGAACACCTCTCCCATCTATTGTTTAAGTCTAGAGTTGCTCCAATTTCATTGTCTTTATATATTTTATGGAACCTTTTAAACAAGAAGATAAAAGCTGACACAAATTAATATAAATCAGGAAGAAAAAAAATTTTAAAAGGCAAAAAAGTGGAAGGAAAGAAAAAAAAACTGAAGAAAAAAAATATATACCAAAGTTACAGAAGTCTGAAGAAGTCAATATTCTTCATAGCCGTTATAAGTACGATGACATTTTAACCTCTTTCTCTAAAGTTAAATCATGACTGTCTTCTTTCTATAATCTATCTTCTCTTATCATCGAAACCATAAATCATAACTTCATTTTTACGGAAAAAATTCCATAAGAGGCTTCCAGTCACCAATAAGGGTAGATGATGTCTTTTCTCTAATCCAAGAAGTCGATTTATCAATTTCAGCAAAATCTGTCAAATTCACCCACCATTCCTCCACAGTGGATGGTGTCGAATCTTTCCATCTCTGTGCACACAGGAATCTCGCTGTTTGCTCTGGTCTTTGACTGCAATAAACATCAACTTGACTTGAATCTCACTGCAACTCCCATTTCATTCTCAACCATGTCAGGATCTCTCACATTCATCATGTTGTAAGGCTGGAGGGAATTCAGAAGCAACGTTCTCTGATGGGATTCTCTCTTTGGAGCAGGGGTCTCCAACCTTGGCAACTTTAAGCCTGGGGGACTTCAATTCCCAGCTTTGCTGGCTGGGGAATTCTGGGAGTTGAAGTCCGCCAGGTTTAAAGTTGCCAAGGCTGGAGATCCCTGCTTTGGAGAACTCTCCCCACCAAAATGGGAGAAACTGCTATGTTCATGACATCCTGGAAATTAATTAAACCCTGTTCCCAAAGACTTGGAACTGAGGAATGGAGACAAACGATGCTTTTATAGTGAGTGATGATGGCCACTAGGGCAGTAATGGCTAACCTTTTCTGGAACGAGTGCCCAAAGTGCGCCCAAACCCCCAAAATGAAATGTGTGCGCAGTCCCCGGGCATGCGCCTCGTCCCCGGGCATGCACATGTCCCCGCATATGCACCACCTACCACGCATGCACACAGGGTCCCCTCACCCTTGCCCTGGCTCACCACACATGTGCGCGCGGCCCCCCCACGCATGCCCAACACCACGCACGCACAGCAGAGACCCAAAGACCAGCTGGCCAATGTGAGGCACGCATGCATGCGCAGCAGAGCTGAACTGGGGCTATGACTCACGTGCCATCAGAGAGGGCACTGCGTGCCACGTCTGGCACACGTACCATAGGTTCACCATCTCGGCACTAGGATATCAAAGTGTAGGAGCCTGACTAGGCCACGCCCACCATGGCCACGCCCACCCAGCAGCTGGGCAGAGAACCCGTTGCTAAAATTTTTGAAGCCCACTCCTGAACATACCAAACCGCAAACTATCCTCAATCTCATTATAACTTGGTCCAAATATTGTGTGAAACACAGACAGTGTAGATTGAATTCTAATTTACCTTCCTTTTGACGGAGACTTCAAAGAGTATCAGTTCTTGTAAGATTCATTCCCTGTTATTAAGCAACTTCACTTGGAAAAACACAATCCTGACCCAACCACAAAAACAAGAGCAACACACAACCTGAAAATGGAGCTGATCCTTTCTTCAAAGTCAGCACTTTCCATGACCACAGCAGATTTGAGCAAAGCTACTTGATGAAGAAGAGATAAACTGCTATCACCTAGGAATTCAAGCCTTACAGCTTGTTTTCCACCCTTGTTTGCTTTCTTGTCCTCCCTGTATTAAGTAGCTGGGCACAGAACAGGAGAAGCGGTTACAAACGAAATATTCCTGATTACTACTGACTCCCAGGCAGGGCTGAGTTGTTTGTCAGCATTTCAGAAAAAACCCAACTCCAAGTAAAGACTCTGAAGCAAGCATTTTTCAAAGTTCTATTTACTAGAATAGGTAAACTGGCACATCTGGGAAAACCCAAATCTGAGAGGTTCTGGTTTTCCCTCAGGAAATCAAAAAACCCCCAAACCATCCCCTCACTCCTCAGTTGATCACAGGCTCCAATCAACCGCCATCCCAACTCGAGACCTCACTCCGAGCACTCCTTCTCCAGATGTAGGATCAGCCTGACCTTGAACGACAGGAAGAATGCTATTATGTCTAAAGACAACCCCTCTACTAACTCCCCACCTCCTACTTTCCCACACACGAGAAGTGGCAGCATGGAAGCTTCCGGCCTAATATGGCTTCCAAAGCTGACACTGTTGAGATATTCACATGTTCCATTAGGAGTAAGTTCTGGTTTTTCAAGGCTACGTGCCCTAACCTTCATTTTTTCTCCCCCAAAACAGCACTTTTCCTGGTAATTGAAATATACAATTTCCTCTTTCTTCCCTATCTTTTTGTCTTCTCACTTTTGGACTTTCTGTTCCAACACTGGAACAAAGAAATTGTGATGGAGGACCTACACAATTCTTAAGACCTTTTTATTCCACCAGGTGGGCCTGGCCTGGCCTAATTTTCTCCCCCTTTTTAAATAATTTTTTAATATTTTTAATATTCAAAGTTTAATTTGTTTTAAATTGATTGGGGTTTTTTAATTTGTCTGGGCCAAACTATTTAATTCGATTTTATTTCTGCTTTTTAAATTTTGTATGTATGTATTTTATTGTTGGCTGTGCACCGCCCTGAGT